AATTCTACGTAGTATAACCTTAAACGAAATAGAATACGATACGATGATACTCATTAAGTATCATGTTTTATGACAACAATTTTAAGGGCGGTCAATTCGATACCACTCCTTTAACATCCACGAACTGCGATTTCCCCCGGGCGAGCGCCCGGGTAAGCTGTTTTCCTGAGGAAAAATGCGTGACGAGATTACCGGTATGACCAAAAGGACGTTTCTCCATTGGTTTACTGACTGCTTGTCGATAGTTATTCGTTCCTTGTAGTAGCCATAGATATTTGAGACGCTGTTTTGCTACTTGAGCTAGGGTGGCGTACCCTCTTACTGGGACTGTATCTTCCTGTTAGATGTATTCCTTTATATCACTGGTAGTTATTGTTTTATTTGATATTTGGCACTCCATCTAACCATCTCGAATGTGGTCGGTTCTGCTGTATATTCACCACGTTGACGACGCGGCACAATACCGCATCCTCCAGACTATCTTGTACTTATACGGCGACTTACATGACTTGCTACCACATCTGATACGCTGCTCTATCATACTGTGATCCAGACCCTCGCGTATTTTACATCATCGAGATGGATCTGTGTTCGATAAGAGACCGCAACAAAACGCAAGGCGTTCAAAGTCCCCAACAACTGAAGCTGAGCCCAGCGTACATGGCAGTTCCCCCAGTTGTAAGCTGTTTGTCACGTGAGACCGTTATATTAAATTCGAGTGTAGGTTCGGGTCACACAGCTTCTGTGCTCAATTTACAAACTCCACCATGCCACATTTTGTTATGTCGTGGTTAGGGTATTTTATCTAGTCGGCAAACCGAAAACTACGTTTTAACTGTAAATTCATGGTAAAACTTGCAGTCCGTGTAAACAGAGAGGCGATATTTGGGTCAATGATTGCTTTTGCAGTGAAAGCAAGCTTCCTGCAGTTGTCCCTGATCTTCACTCAACAGCTGAAAGCTATGGAGACCCAGCTTTTATTCTCAACTAGCTAAAACTTAAAGAGAAGGTCTGTTGAGATGGTGTCCAAAGTTTATGCCAGCACTTTTAATAATTGTCCCTAAACACGACATACTACTATGCACGTACAAATTTCCTATTGATTGTGAGCTTAATTGCAATCACGATAAGTCGATACACCCACTTAATCGATGTAGTTCTTCTGAAGTAAAATGTGGGTTTACGAATAATATTTAAAACATTGTGGAAGTAAAAGTATTATTGCCATACTTACAGAATATTATATGTAAAATAAATTCGGTTTTAGAACAAAAAGAAATGTTGTATGCCAATAAAAACTACTGTAACTTTACTTTAAAGAAATTTTGCATTTCTAAATTGTCTATGATAAAAAAACACGAATTTTACTTTAACGAAATTTAGCATTTCTAAATCGTACAAAAATTGCAGTATTTAGAAATCAACGAACGTTGTAGAACTTTCGATTGCGTAATAATATATGCTTGGATGGCATTCAGACGAAAAATAATCCATTAAAATCTAATGGGTTTTTTTCGTCTGAATGCCATCCGAGCCAATCAGCATGCTTCACGACAAGATTTTGGAACTATGTCTAATAAAGCCAACCAAGCCTATATTATTACAACCCAAATTTGGAGTTTTTTTGAGCTGGTTCCGAATAACCCAAATAATCCATCCTGTCAACGCATGTTGAAATTATCAGGTCTGGTTGCTTGATAGGATGCAGTGTACTGTGTCAACTTCAATTCAGTAGCGTACACGCGCCAAAGCTGACGGAGTTTGGCGTTTGAGCACGTGCACGCGATTGACTTAAACATGTCCACGAGCTCTGGCGAACCAGTTCCTCACTTTCAAATTCACCTTCCAGGACTCAACTCTTCAATCACTCAAGCGCCATGGCTACTGATCTCATCATGTCCGGTGACTGCGGCGGCACCAACACGCGTCTATCGCTGTGGAATATCCCCAAGGACTCCAAGCACACCAAGGGCGATATCGCCCCTGGATCGATGCTCTTCTCCAAAAAGTATCTGAACGAGGACTACGCCAGCTTCGCTGAAGTCTGCCACTTGTTCCTAAACGAAGCGAAGCTCGTGGACCAGATCCCTGAAGCCTGCGTACTCGCTTGCGCTGGTCCCATTCTCAAGAACACGGTTGACTTTACAAACGTCGAATTCGGCTGGAAGATCGATGGTCCTGGTCTTGAGAAGGAATTGGGCATCAAGAAGGTTCGTCTGATCAACGACTTCGCCGCGATGGGCTACGGTCTGCTTACACTACGCCCACACGAGTACATTGTGCTCAATGACGCTCCTAAGGACGAGACTGCTCCTATGGCCACTATTGGCGCTGGTACCGGTCTTGGCGAGTGCTTTCTGACTCCTGGTATGGACGGCCAGTACTCGTGCTTCGCCTGCGAAGGTGGCCACACCGATTTTGCACCTGCCGACGAAATTGAAATCGAGCTGTACAACGAGATCAAGACGAAATTGGGCTGCAGTCAGCGTTTCTCGGTGGAGCGTATTGTGTCTGGCCCTGGTCTGGCTACGATCTACGAGTTCCTGGCCAAGAAGTTCCCCGAGAAGGTGGACCCGAAGGTGCACGAGCAGTTCCTGACTGCCAACACGCAGCAGGGCAAGGTGATCGGTGAGAACGCCAAGACGAACGAGCTGTGCAACCAGACTCTGGAGATCTTCGTGGGTGCGTATGGCCGCGAGGCTGGTAACGCGATGCTCAAGTATCTGCCTCGCGGTGGCTTCTACATCACGGGTGGTCTGGCCCCCAAGAACCTGGACTACTTCACTAAGAAGGACATTTTCCTCAAGTCTGTGTTCGACAAGGGTCGTGTGAGTCCTGCAATCAAGGCTTGCCCCATCTACTTGGTCCTAAACGAGGATTTGGGCGAACGTGGAGCCCACTACTACGCGTACCAGTTGCTGAAGGAGGTATAGGAGAGTTGCAACATACCGCACCGAATGTGATTGATAATAAACTCCTTTGTTGCGTCCTGTTCGACGTGGTTTGCATTGAGTTGCCGACGTTGAAGTCCCCGAGGCTGCTAGTGATGTGCAAGGTCTCCCCGCAGTGCTGCCAAGTCCATGCACTTTGTATCAAGTTGCATCAAGTTGGTCTGCTTCGATTTACAGCCCAAGCAGCCCACCGCAGTCTATGCACGAGTTGAAGCAGACCGATACAGGAATCAAGTGAACCGCCTGACGTCACGCACGCGGGCAGCAGCACATGGCCGGGAGCAAAAAAAAACACTCCATCCCATTCGTGTTAACCGGTCTTACAAGCAGCAGCGACGGCAGATCTCGAGAAGAACTATGGACAAGAATCTCAAGGACGAGCATGTACTCATACCTTGACACGCAACTTTTCATTGGTCTAAAATCGCTTTTGTGCGCTGGGATTGGTCACTAGATTTCGAAGCCATCTCTTTTTTTTTTTGGGGCACGCAGCACAAATTAAACTGGCCTACTGTATGGCATACTCCCGTCAAGAGAAATCAACAGATTGTGAAAGTTCAGACTCTGTGCGACAGAAAACGTGCAGAAGACAGCAACTTCAAGACCAAACACACACAAAAAAAAGTCGCGCCAGTTTGCCACGTCGGCAAATAAGATCCTCTCCTTATTTGCCTCGGTCATTCCGGAATTTGCCGTGTCCAGAGCAAAACATTTGCCCCAGCTTTTCTAACAACATGTCCGACTACAGCCTCATCATCTCCGGCGACTGCGGCGGCACCAACACGCGTCTGTCGCTGTGGAAGATCCCCAACGGCGCCACGCAACTCAAGGGCAACATCGCCCCGGGTGATGCCATCTTCGCCAAGAAATACCTCAACGAGGACCACGCGAGCTTCAACGAGGTGTGCCACCTCTTCATGAACGAGGCCAAGCTCACGGACCACGTGCCCGAGGCCTGTGTGCTGGCCTGTGCCGGTCCTATCCTCAACAACACGGTGGACTTCACCAACGTTGAGTTCGGCTGGAAGATCGACGGCGCCAGTCTCGAGAAGGAGCTCGGCATCAAGCAG